CCCTGAGACCCCCCCCCCCCCCCCCAAAAACACTGAAGTTGGAAGACAGCAACCAAGCGTGCTTCAACAAAGGCATTAGTGTCCACAGCTTCACCAGTTACTCTACGGCTCCAGCAATAATCGTTGTAGTTGAAGTCTGGTCAGAAACAGACAGAAACACTCACCCCTAGCAATAGGTGACACTCACCCCTTGAAAATAGGTGACACTCACCCCTGCCAATAGGTGACCCTCACCCCTAGCAATAGGTGACACTCACCCCTAGCAATAGGTGACACTTACCCCTAGCAATAGGTGATACTCACCCCTGGCATGATGACCCTGTCAATATCTTTTTTCACCTCCTCCCAGGACTCCCCATTCAGGGGTGCCTCGTCTGGGATCAGCTCCCTCAGGTACCCAGGCAAGACTGAAGGAAATGGGGTGCGTTTGTCGATGGTCTCCAGGTAGTCAGCGACATAGTCGACCATCTCGCGACCACTGGCTCGGAACTCATCAGTGTCCATTGAAACCGTTGACTACAACTAGCTGTAGGAAAATACAAATGAAGTTAAATTATTATGTTTATACTAGGTTCCCTCCTGTTAGCAGCAAGGACACATCATATGGCATACGTTCCAGAAAATAGAGGAAGTCAACAATTTAAAATAATATTTAAATAGAAAAGCTGGCCACTTTTTCAAAACACTCTCATGGATCTAGCCAAAAATTAGAAGAAACTATTTTGGATAAGTGTAACTTGTAACAGCTCAAATATTAATGTAAATAATTGTTTCGCAATTTGAAATGAACAGGAAGTTAGATATAAAAAAATGCCATGCGAAGAAGAATAGAAGAGATTAAAATGATTCTATCTATGGAGTGAAAGTAGTTTCATAAGTGTGTTGCCCTTGCATTGAACTATCTCCTGGCATCGAATCAGCCTTCGGACATTCAAGTGTTTTCAGAAAGAAGTGACGTGTACCAAAGAATGACACATATTTTTCTATCTAGAGATTTATTTCAAGTTGTAAAGGGAAATGTTTCTGTGAATAAATAGAGTGAAGCTGTCCATTGGATTTTCCTGGTGGGTCCGTAGAGTATAACATGATTAGAGTCATAACTATTAAGAAAGCTCTGCAAAGGTGGATGCTGATGGACAGTTATCGATTATTAAGTAACGGAAAAAGAAGTTCACAGCGAGTCTACACAATAACATTCCATAACTCATTGGCAGACTGACTTCCAGCCGGTTTACCAATTGAACAATGACTGACAGGCTCAAGTTAGTGGTACAAGAATGCGTCTACATCGCAGTTGAAGTCTGCACCTGGTGGAACTCGACATGATTCAATGGGTGGCAAAACAGGTGGAGCAAACTCCGAGTGGAACTCGGGGAGAAAAAAGTAACAACGCTGGTCATCCACTGCTTTCTGGTCTATACTTCTAGGTGTTTAGATCCACTGCATTCTGGTCTATACTTCTAGCTGTTTAGATCCACTGCATTCTGGTCTACACTTCTAGTTGTTTAGATCCACTGCATTCTGGTCTATACTTCTAGCTGTTTAGATCCACTGCATTCTGGTCTACACTTCTAGTTGTTTAGATCCACTGCATTCTGGTCTTTACTTCTAAGGGTTTAGATCCACTGCATTCTGGTCTAGACTTCTAGGGGTTTAGAATCCAAACAGGCAAGGACGAGACAGTGAGCCCGATGAACTGCGGACATCTCCCCAGCTAAAATCCAACTAAAGATCGCCCCAACACAAAACCCCATGGAGCTAGGCAGGGCAGGGGCGTTGTTCTTAGGGCACAGTTTCAATATCCTACTGCTCATCCATGGGTTCACATCTGGGGTCTAGCCACCAAGACCAGGCCTGCACAACATACGGCCTGCGTGTCGCATGTGGCCCTCCAGCACCCACTTTGCGGCCTGCGAAGTAACGAAATATTCTTTATTCTTATTATTCTTTTGGCCCGCACATGTCCTGTCCTATTTTTCTTTGGCCCGCACAAGTCCTGTCCTATTTTCTTTTGGCCCACACAAGTCCTGTCCTATTTGCTTTTGGCCCGCACAAGTCCTGTTCTATTTCTTTTGGCCCACACAAGTCCTGTTCTATTTTCTTTTGGCTTGCACAAGTTTTTCATAAGTATTGAGGCCGGCCTGACATTTTGAGTTGTTCAGGCCTGATCTAGACATTTAATACAAATACTCTGATGGGAAAGGTACTTCACTAAAAATTTCAAAGTTGCCATATATTAATGTAACTAATCACATTAGAAGCGATTCGCTATTTCCTTTCCATTGATACCAAGGTTTTCTTTCTAGCTGAAATTTTTCTTTAAAGTTATCGCATGTTTAGTGTCAGAATTGTTTCTTACCTCAGTCAAGAATTTCCAAAATTCTGTGATAAAAAAAAACATCGTTGACACTCCAAACGAGATAATGTTTTAGTCAGCCCAAGTTACAGCTCTGAAATTTTTCGACGCATTTCAATTAACTATTGGGCTTTAATAATAAATCATTGCTATGCAAATACTACGATAAATATATCAATTCGTGTGATTTGAACAGCAGAAGGTAGGTAAATTTCATTAAAAATATAGCGCCTGTTCTCAATACTCAAAATGCCGTAACTATTTTACCTGTTAAGTTAAACCCTTCACATGTTTAGCACAGTTTAATTAGGTCTTGGGCTTTTATAAAGTAGCCATTTCCATATGAATATTTTGACCATTGCAATGCATGAATGCGAGATGTTGTGTCTACTAGACACTTTTTAACTGCATAATTCGGTAACGTGAAACGACCAGTTAGATCCGATATGTCTTTATGATCCTAGCCTGGTGTGATGAATAAGGCATCCTGTTTGATGTCGTGTCAGGGTCAGTGGTCACGTGTGAAAGAAGGTGCTATGTTAGAAGCAGAAAAGTGTGTAGGTTCGAATATCAAAGAAGCCTATTTATGCGTCACCTCCCCCCCGTGACATCCGGTTGCAATGACAATGTCGGAAAGTGAGTTAAGTTTTTTGTCCTCAGCTGTTCTGCCCAAAAACCCAGTTTCATTTGAAAAGCGAAAATGTGTCCAAAATTATATCTTAGTAATTAATTGATCTTTTCCTTGCAGACGAGTATTGACGTCATCTAGGTGGCTAGTTATATCGACAAGACATGCAAACTCTCAAACCCCACTCTTTGTGTCCAAACTCTGGGATACTTACTGACTTGATTGCAAAAAATGAAAGTGTTTCTTGCTGCAAATCAAACACTTTTTTCAACATTTTGGCATGGAGCAGCCTTCTTACTTCTGCATTAAATGTAAGTCATTATAATCTGAGTCCAAACTTAAGACATTCTTGGAACTGACCCGTTAGACGTAATGAAGATCCCTATTTTGACGACCATATCTGTGCTTTCATCCAATGCTAGAGCATAAAATATAAACTCGGATGCTCGACTTTTCAAATTATCTTCAATATGTCTTCCAATGTCGTCCACACGGCTAGCCAGACTCTGAAGAGACAGACTTATTTTGGAGAAACCCATCTTATTTTTTTATGAACACAGACTTTCAACGACGCCCTCCAAACCTTCCTTGACCATTTCACCATCTGAATGTGGCTTCAATTGGTTTGCTAGTGTCATGGCTGCTGCTTAACTAGCGTTTACATACATACATCGAAGACGCCGAAGACCACAGGACATATTTATCAGAAGTTGGACTCTTACAATAAATTTTATCAACACCTAGCGTCGGACACACAAAAAATGAAGTCACCTTGAGTGTCAGGTGGTGGGATATTCGAACTAGCTCAAAATCGATGAATTTTCCGGGAAATGCAGAAGATTTAAAATAGCTCAAAACCAATGAAGTCTTCAACAAATGCGCGATATTGCACATTTCTCTTAGCGCGATATTGCACATTTCTCTCAGCGCGATATTGCACATTTCTCTTAGCTATAATTAAATACTACATGATACGAATGCCTCATAACGCAATGTTCTATTGGTGACATGTAAAGTAAAGTTATGTTCTATTGGTGACATGTACAGTAAAGTTATGTTCTATTGGTGACATGTACAGTAAAGTTATGTTCTATTGGAGACATGTACAGTAAAGTTATGTTCTATTGGTGACATGTACAGTAAAGTTATGTTCTATTGGTGACATGTACAGTAAAGTTATGTTCTATTGGTGGCATGTACAGTAAAGTTATGCTCTATTGGTGACATGTGCAGTAAAGTTAACATTTATGTTTATTTGACCTAGCTCCGCGGGGCCGCAACATGACGCATGGAGGGCCGCATGCGGCCCGTAGGCCTCGTGTTGGCCACTCCTGGTCTAGAGAATAAAATATCCTTTCCGACAAGACATAATTTATAGCATAAGAACCTAGGACGCCACCGAGACATACATTATTGAACTTCTACACAAAGCAGAAAATGTGATTCCCTATCAAAGCCCGGTTTGACGGGTAAGAGAGAAACAGTTCCCGAGATGTTGTGGTAGACTGACCCTTAGTTCGAATCCCAAGACGGTATTGGATGGTGCACGCTGTGTTGCGTGGCATGCAATACCATGCATGAAAATGTCTTTATGTTAAACCCGAAGTAACAGATCTACTGGAGACAGGAACAGATCTACTGGAGACAGGAACAGATCTACTGGAGACAGGAACAGATCTACTGGAGACAGGAACAGATCTACTGGAGACAGGAACAGATCTACTGGAGACAGGAACAGATCTACTGGAGACTTTGTTTTTATTATTATTACACCAATAGACCTCCTAGTTAGAATACTACAGGTAGGATCTTATAGAACAATGCCGAATAAGATATTATAGAACAATGCCGAATAAGATCTTATAGAAAAATGCCGAATAAGATCTTATAGAACAACGCCAAATAAGATCTTATAGAACAACGCCGAATAAGATCTTATAGAACAATGCCGAATAAGATCTTATAGAAAAATGCCGAATAAGATCTTATAGAACAATGCCGAATAAGATCTTATAGAACAATGCCGAATAAGATCTTATAGAACAACGCCGAATAAGATCTTATAGAACAATGCCGAATAAGATCTTATAGAACAAAATGCCGAATAAGATCTTATAGAACAATGCCGAATAAGATCTTATAGAACAATGCCGAATAAGATCTTATAGAACAACGCCGAATAAGATCTTATAGAACAATGCCGAATAAGATCTTATAGAACAACGCCGAATAAGATCTTATAGAACAATGCCGAATAAGATATTATAGAACAATGCCGAATAAGATCTTATAGAACAACGCCGAATAAGATCTTGAAGAGCAATGGCGAATACGATTTTAACCTATTTCATAAAAACATAAATAAACTAAACAAACACTCACTTTCCAAACGTCGCCCACAACCTGTTTGAACACGTCACCAAACCAGCATTAGATCCCGCGCATGGTTCCTCGAAAATATGATCAATGGAGTATCCAGTTTAAACTGGTCAAGGGACAAAAATATTTTAAAACTAAATT